TAAAGATTACAATTAAAAGTAAGTTCACTATGTAACTCCAAACACAAAACCTTTATTTTGAATTTTGTCGAATTCTTTTTTACCTTTATAGCATACTATTGTTAAACATATTTAAAGGCGTCTTTTAAAGCCCATAGACGCAAGTCCAAAGGAATAACAACAAATGTAACAATAATATCCGCGTAGGCACGCCAAAGTATGAAATTTTATTACCTATACCGATCAACGAAAATATCGACTTACCGAAACGTCGAACAATTGGTATTGTATCTGTTACCATTGAAATGTGAATATCTCGCTTTTTAAAGCATTAATACTCCAAGATTCAATAGCCACTGAATGTAACAAAGATTATCGGCTTTTTATTATGTTCTTCAGAGAAGCTTTAAAAACTGCGAAAATATTTTCTCTTTTACTGTCTTTCTTTTTTGATATAAGTATTTTTGATATGGTATTGCTTTTCTCCAGTTGAATGAAATTTTAAAAAATCTGATTTGCATTACACTACATTTGATTACAAGAATCTTTATTCTTAAACTCTCCTTAATTCAAAATTTAAAAAGTCACATTGATCAACCTACGATTAAGGTTTATTCCGTAATGTCTGTCGGTACAGCGGTTGCTCTACATAGACAAAACAGACACCGGTTCGAGTCTTTTCAGACCCTAGGAATTTTTCTTTATGTTTCGATCTTTGTATTAATAATAACAAACTAATGGAGTAATTTAACAATAATAAATTAATATCATGGTAGTAAAACATCACAATACACATAACAATCAATATTACAAAGATTACTTTGTTTTTCATTTGTTCCCACATCCGAATGCACTATATTGTTTCTAATTTGATTGTACCTAAACAATTAAAATGTTTTAAGAAAGTTTTTAACGCAATTCATTAGGTGGCCAGAGGCCGACGTTACATGCTTTATTAACGTACGGTAATTTGATAAAGCCCTCTCAACCGCTTAATGGGGGTGCTTCTATCATGAAAATACCTTCACATTTTGTACAATAGAGCATAGAGCAATCTTGTAAAACCTTCTATAGCTTTTTAATGGATAAAATCAAGAGAAACTTAATATTTTAAAGAATTCTAAAGTATGTTAGTTGGTAAGAGTAGGTATCCTGTAGAGTGGAATTGTTAGTGTAGTAATTGATAATGCAAACTTATAAAATTTATTGATTTTGTTAGGTGTATACTCGACGTTCCCATCCCGTATTGGACAACCATGTTAGTAAGTACGGCTTCAAATAAGACCTGCTATTCTTAGGGCGTAAATGGACTAAATATTTTAAATACTCATGTGTTAAGTCATTTTTAATTTCCGTTAAAATTGTAAAGCTCTTAACTAGATTTAATTTTGTTCATAATATAAGTAGCTAGCTGTTGTAGCACTTATAATATTATAGCATGCGTAACAAAAATTTCATTTCGAATTCAATTTGTTTACTCAATGCGTTTCGAATTGACTTTGATTTATATTATAACATGATACAATGTAGCAATCGTTGTGATGTTCCAACTGATATTGTTTGTATTCAATTTGATATGGTATTTTAAAGCCTCCAAAATCAAAAGGATGAGACAAAATGTAAAATACGATCGTTATTCAATATTACGCGTAGATGTTCCATCCATTTTGTGGCATTATCGCAGAGCGAGGTGCACGTCGCACGGTGACAAACAACATTCGTGGCCCATTCGTGGTCGACATTTATGCGATGTCATGGTTCTCAATAGAAATGCCTCGATTTACGCTCCTCTTCTACTTTTTGTCTGATGTCTTTTTATTTCAATCGTGATCGGCTTGTGCCATTCCATCGAGGACAAACACCCAGTTCTTAATTCTGACAGTTACCTATCTATTGAGAGAAGACACGACATTTAGCTCAATAGACAGAAGTGATTAAAGTTTTATATAAAAGCTTTCCAACATTTGCAGGATAACATTGAAATTCAATTTTTAGGTCTTAAGTACGTTTCTTAGAAAAGTTGCCGACATTCAGTACATTTACAAATTTCAAATATTTTCAATTGAAATTAAAGGTATAATACTTCAAGATAAAAGCTATAGCGGTACCTACTTCACTGTTTGAGTAATCGGTACCTGTTCATACTCCAATAATTATTTACCTTTTGCGGATTTAGTTAAATAAACGATAAGGACGTTCGAAAAATGAACCAATTACATTTCTATGAAACGAGAAGATGAATGTTGTATACCTTTAAATTTTTGTTAAATGTATTAAGAATTTATATCCCTTATATTACTCAAATTACTCAAAATAAAGATCAGTTTTTATTCTACATTCGCCTTATTTCCTTGTCGTCAATTCTCATCCTCATATGGCTACCCTGCTCTGCTTCAAGTCACACATTCATAGACACTTTCATAATTTATCGGACACTTTTTTGTAATTTATAAAATAACTGATTCAATATATGTATAATTATAATTCAAATTCATAGGGCAACTAACATTCCATCTGATCACATCAAGCACTGTGTTCCTGTAATATTCAGTATACTTGGACTTGGATTCCTGAATGTAGTATTGGGGCTGTATAAGAAAGGCTGTAACAACATGGATTGATTACAAAATTGCCATGCTTTGCGAAAAAAAGATAGGGAGGTAGAGGATAACTTTATGAAGAATATCAACGTAGCTATGGCTACGTTGATGTTTTTGACTACTTGTTTTCACCCTTGAACGAAACATTTGAGATGGAAAACATTCACAATCCCATTCAGCATAGTGCGTAGTATCCTGTTCGCTGCCAGTCAAGTTCAACAACAAAGTTAACATGAGCACTGTTCAACAGTTCAAGCCAGACGTAGCGAGCGTCAGGAACAGGTGCTATCATTTGAATAGATTAATAAGAGCAAACAATAGTTGAGCAAAATTGTGAGGCATGAGGATCAGATTGTAGAAAACAATGTGCTAAGGTTCGAAGCGCAATGTTGGTAGCGGGGGAGCTATTTGTATGCGTAATGGAAGATCGAATTTCGTATTTGTTCGTGGGGTCGTTAGCAGCACCTTCGCGCTTGTTTATAAAGAAAACAAAACCCTTTATCCGAGGCGGGCAAGTTGAGGGGCGCGCCGCGAAACCGTACCGGCTTCGCCAACAACAACATAACGAGTTTAATAAATATCGGTTATTGTTATATAGCAATGTTTGCACAGTTATCGGACCCTTATCCTTTCGCTACTAGCAACATGTCCGGATGTAATTTTCAGCCATAAACTTTCACGAATGGTGCGTAAACAAACGAACTATGAACGATTAAACTTGCGATTTACACGTTAGTAGTTTTAATAGAGACAAGAGAATAGTTTAAGCAGCGGCTCTTTTTGATTGTTTGATATTGATTGACGTAGGTACAATGCATAATTACGTTAATATAGCACCTCCATACAAATAAGTGAAAAGTGAAGCTGTAAATTTTGTCGTATTTTTTAAGTTTTTTATTGAATGTCAGGATGTTTGACCACCATGATATTCAATTATTTTTATGGAATTACTCCACTAATTTGGTACAACTATTGATACAAAGATCGAACACTTAGAAAAGAAATCCTTCGATCCAGCTGGATTCGAACCAACGTCTTGCAGCAAACCGTGACAAACGCTATGCCCACTAAACCACTGAACGAACTAGCGAATCTTACAAATTTTTCTATGTGCTTGTTGCAGATCTTTGTTTCTTCTTTTTAACAGTAACAGTATGAAATAAAGTATTTATAATGTTCACGGAGATAAACGGTGCACTATAATAAATAGTATGACATATCGAAGCCGTTAAAGTCACGTTGTTCACAAAATAGAAAAATTTAAAATAGAAAATGTTACATTATATACATTTGTCATCATATCTCGGTTATCTCGTATTTTCCTTATATAATCGTGATCTAAAGTCGTTACACAAATATCAATAAGTCGAAAGCCGACATGTCACCTCTGTTTGTGGAGCTAGGCTCTGCAGGAATCCGTGTTTATGGGATTTCACGGCGTACATAAATTGTCCGGTAGATACGGCATACCTAAAACCCGATGAAGCGTGAACGAAAGTCACGCGCCAAGGATTTTGTATCCACACGTTCCCCGTCCATACTAGATTCATATAAAATTTTCAAGCTTTCTTTCTCCGTGATGCACGGAAACATAATATAATAAATAGGTATATCTATTGATTGAGACATTATACACAAATGGAAAAATTTTGCGTCTTACCTAATATACGTTTAGTACAGCCAGAGAAAAAACCAAGATGGAGCTTTTAATCATTCTTTAAATCTACTTTAGCGCACAGATGGAACGCTGTTATTTTCAAGAGTTAAATGCGGTAACTTATACTATGGAAACATTAATTTAATAACAGATGTCCATCAGGATATGGACCGATGAAGTGTTTGTTTTGTGCGCCTGTTAAAACACTGTATTTACACAGTTAGTAGACCATCACAGGCTGAGTATACGCGGTGTCAAGATCACGTCGGGCGTAGCGTCGCGCTGCCCGCGGTGACACGCGCCGCCGCCGTCCCGCGACACGCCCCCTACCCTCTATCGTCCGCCTGCTACCCTCAACCCTCGCACCACGCATGCTCCAATTATAATCTGTTTAGGGATGTCCATTGTCGATTAAGATTAAATTTATAAACTAAAAGGTTTACATCCAATGAAATTAATAAGGTGTTAAATATTTTGAGCAGTTCAAAGTTTACCACCAGCGTAACTCCCGACGATAGCACGAAAAAGCTTCAAATTTCATTTAAAAAAAAAAGCAAATAAAGCACAGAGAGTATCTCTCACGTAGAGAACTCGAGCTTTCATGTGTCTATTGGAGAAACTGACAGGGTTAAGCATGATAGCCACCCGCGGAGGATAACTCGATAGCTCGACATAGGATAGGGCGGCATTATCTCGGGGACGGCGTGCGCGCGCAGAGGCGTCGCGCGGAGGGTTTCAAATCGCCTGCGGAGGGCGAACGGTCCGCGCGCCTTGTCGTTGTCAGTCGCGCGGTCACTCGACATAACACCTCAGGCCTGAGAGGTACGCTGGTGCTCGAGCAGCCCGCATGCTACTCGTCGGCAACTGACCGATACCGTACCGGTCTCAGTCGCGCGTGACCTCCGCCCTTGCGGAGCGCCCGTGTCCACCGCGACACCACCAACTGACACCGCGGTATGTCCCTGAAGCCTCTTGCTCTGGCTGGAGTAGCAGGTATCCCCGAGCCCTGCCCTCAGTAGCGTGATACTCAGTAATATCGCCGAAAGCGACGCAATATAGCCGACCCGCCGCTTATGTGTCCGACTTAAATTTGGTTTTTATTGTTTTTAGTGTTTATTGTTTTCCTAAAATGTGCTCTAATCGTAGTAAAATGCCTCAAATCACATAGCAGGCTCTCGTGTGCTGTGAATTACGGGCTTGGTGGAGAGAATCACGTCATGGCGGCGTGTGATTGTGATGAACTGCTCCAATTTTGTTCTTTTGTTCCATAATAAGTAAGCTATCTTTGGATACGGAAGAAAATCACATGACATTGATAAGTTGCATGTATGTATGTATCTCTAATTAATCGTAAGAGTTTTAGAAAACCACTTTTAATATGTAAATGACAGACCGTTACCGCACTGTGATGTTATCTCAATGGTTTATCTAATCGAATCCCTTATCTGCACGTACATTTCTATTAGAGATGTATATAATTATGCTTATTAATTAGCATATCAAACATGTTCTAGAAACGGCTGTTAATTACAGTAATAAAGATACATATGATGATATTTCTCTGTTTATGTCAAAATTTATATTTAGTCGCGATCGATTATTTGTCCCTCCCACGTGCCGATATTAGAAAAAACATTCAATAACAATGAATGTCTGTCTTTTATTTATTTCCCTCGAATGCATTACGAAATACCTTCTTTAAAGTGTGACTGAGTTTCGTTGACCTAATAAACAAAAAAATACAACACACAGTTGGGTTATTATTTATTCGTCTTGCATTCTATTGATACTATATGTATATTTAAAAAACTTCTCTTTTGAAAAACGATTAGCTTGGTTATTGCCTAGATATCGAGTTATTCGTTATTCCATTTCGGAACTTCCATCATTCATTGCAAAAGTCCTTACTGATAATTTCTCAATTTCGATTCTTATTTATGTGTATTTGATTTTCATTATTTGAATGTGTACTTGTGTTTGTAAGATCTATGTCAGCGGGTCTGCTTTAGTATTTTAATTCACATATTGTATGACACGAACGTCATATATTTTTGAGATGCTCTACAGTATCTAATTTTATTATATATAATTCATATTATTAATAATTTGTTGGAGACTATTAAGAACTAAACTAGTAGAGTTCCTTGTGAAAGGGTTCTTCCAGGGAAGTACTGCTACCTTGCCTATTTCTGCTGCCAAGCAATATTGTGAGCGTTGCTGCGTTGAAGGGTAAGGGTGGGTGCTGGTAAAATTACAGACACATGGGACTTGTCAACTTGTCTCAGGGTGACAGGCGCAGTAGTGGTACCCCTCAGATCCTTGCTATTTAAAGCTCTGAGTGGCACTGCAACTTTTACGGACATTCGTGTAGCTTACCATCAAGCGCACAAGTTATACGTCCCGCCACTTGATATTATAAAAAAGAAACTAAATTAAATAAGTCTTATAATAAACATTGATACTTCAAAACGCTTATGTAGTAGTACCTAGTTTGAAGTAAATTCGTGTTTATTAAATACAATTTTCAAGGCAAGACTTAAGATGTAAAAGCAATTAATAAACTCTACGGACCGGTAAATATTCGAACTTTACTTATTTTAATTTAATTAAAACGAGGACTACAATATAAAGCACCGAGAAGCGTCGTATTAATTTCGAGAGTCTCATTCAAAACTAAAAGAGCCTCTATTGGAAATAGTGTAACCAATTTATATTGGTCATAAAATAACAAATAAATCATACTAATATAATTAAATCGGCGCGCGTGTATTCTCTAGAGTCTCACGACTGCTATTAACGACGAGGGACCATATGTAAGAACCTGTCTTCGCGATATATTAACGGCATCTTGAACTCGGACCTCGCACATCAATTAGCTTCGACTTGTACTTACAATTATGTGCTCAAACTAAATTGCTGGAAGAGTCGTTGATCGCTAATGATACGGCTAAGTTTCCATAACACGTGACGAACGCCTGGGCGCGTTCACACGCAGAAAGCCTGTGGAATTTATCGTAATTTTCGTTGACTCATTGTCCATTTCACGTTGGATTTCTTGTAGGCTAAACGAACGGTGTGTGTCACGTGTCACAAATGATACACGCACACAGGGTCGCGGCACTGGCCTAATGTCCTCGGCTAATGCGGCGGTAGGCCGACAAGAGGACAATTTCCGGGCCCGCCCCCTACCTTGCCGCCATTACGCACTAGAAACAATTCCCTAACCATTATAATCATTAATGATCCCGCGCTGCCATTACCGCCCGCCAACATTGATTCTCTCTTGTCACTATTATTTATTGTCTCAAGACAATATCTCAAAGCGGCTTCGCTTGTTATAAGTTGTTCAATTTATTATAAAACTTAAAATTGGGCAACTCGTAAAATTAATACCAAAAGCAGCTATGTATTTAAAACATTCAATACAAAGCCAATAAACAACGGTTAATTTTTTTTTGTAATCTGGTATCAAACATACCAAATACTTCGCCCCTTTTATTCATTAATAGTTATCACCCCTTATAAGTCTCACTACCGCGTATGGATCTCTTTAAAATTGTGGTTTAAGGCCACTGTTCACTAGTTTTACCAGACTAATCGACTTCACATGTGAAGTCATGTCTTTGAAGAATTTTTTCTTCCACGAATTTGATTCCAACTCAAATGCTTTCGGTTCGGTCGGACACTTTGGAAAAAATAAATAGTAAAATTGAATATATACACTGAATAGTATACGGTGTGAAAATACTATTCCTAAAAATTTTTACGATGGAAAAGAAACTCTAACTTACCTCAAAATTATAGATGAAAACCGCTGTCTTCAATAGGTACTTTACATATACCAATATTTTTATATTAAGTGATCTAAATAGAACGCGTAGGTATATGATATTAATTTTACAAATACCTAGCTTTAATTTCGTCTGTAAAAATTCTGAAATGAAGCCAGTGTGCCTGCCCCTCGACCCGCGCCTTTGCCCTATTAATATTCTATTGAACCGATTCAGTACGGAGAAAATTTTTATTCGAGGTGAGGCAATATCGACTCTCAAGAGATTATTCATCACATAAGTAAGTGATACTGAAATCAGGTTGGTAATGGTTAAAAACTCGTTATATTATTCTAAACGCGAGACGAAAACTCCCGTGTGCTAATCAAGAAAACTTACTTCAAATTCTTAGATTTTTATATTTTGAAATTACATAAATGGTGACCTGTAACTGCAAACCTATGCCTGACACATGATTCGAATAGGATATATAGTGATGGAAGACATACATATGTATATTCTTTCATTTTCACAAAATATAAAGGCTAGATCCTAGTAAGATATCAGCTCTACTTCTTTTTGAGTAGTTCTCTCCAGCGACAAAACACGGCACTGACAGATGCAGGACTAATGACAAATTAACCGTTAAAAACTCGTGGAAAGGCGACGCGACAGAAAAAACCTCCGAATAAAAAGCTACGAGTCGGCGCTTTTATCTCGGCGCTCGTTTCGCGAAGACAGCGTTTGTTTTGAATGGGCGTCCACTCCGGCACACTCGCCGCTCGCGGCACGGCCCCTCTAAACAACGCGTCTGCCCTGTCGGATGTAATCATCGCTTACCAACTCTTAAACCGTTTGATCTCTTCTTTTTAACCTCTCCAGTAAAATAATATCCCACACTCGCTACAATGCTCTTTACTTTCAATACATTTTACAAACATTTCATTACTTGAATTATGTAAAGCATATTTCTACATATCCATTAATTCGAACTCTTTCATCACATTTTTCGGTTTTAAATTACCATAAGACTACGTGCCGATGACTTAATATTTACATCAACCCCATAATCATTTCATGACAATATGAATACAATGGTATAGAACGGTCGATTGACAATAAAACAATGGGTATCATCAAGGAGTGAATGGTATTCGATTCGCACGCGAGCTCTGATTGCTCCCACGATAATTACAGTAAATAATGTGTTCAGCAAATCATACAGTACAAAATGAGGCATAAAATGTTAAAGCCGAGGCTTGGGAACGAGACGAGCGTGCGTAATTACCCGGCGAGAATGTGGCCGAGTCCTGCGGCCGGGACAGCCTCCGACCGCGTCGCTAAACTAGGAATAAAGTCCTCGGTGCGGTACCCTGAACTCGTTAATTACACTTGGAAACTTAATATACATGTTACAATTTGAAAGACTGTTTCCAATTTCAATCCAGAGCCGTAAGATAAACGACTTTAATGTTTACCGAGATCACATTTAATTTTTAGGATTCGACGAAGAGTTTTGAAGTGCATACGTGTCCTCGGGGCATCTATCAAACGGACAGGAATTGTTTCCCACAGCCCGCTCTCGGCTCGTCACGGAATCAATATCGTCTTTTATCTTATGAAACGTGCTCCACATACACACACCACCTCGCTTGCTGCACACACGTAATACATTCTAGGGCTCACACTCGAATGGAATACGGATAACATTGGAAGTAGATAGTGATAATTAAACCTAATTTGTTATCTCTCTCACGATTTTCTAAAACTGGGAAGATATAATTAAAGCTCTAAACTTTTCTAATATTAGTATTCCGCTTATTTATTCATGTATACCTTAATGTTTTGTTTTTTTTTGTATCTTGTTTTGCAAATACAGGACTATTTACTTATTAAATATTTTAAGCTTGTTTTATAAAGATCGGGTGGTTTTTACTAATACTCATTACTTCATAATTTTAAGTTTATTGAATATCACGATGTTCTACGACCATGATATTCAATTGTTTTTTTGTGAAATTCTTCATACCGCCATGCCTGTCTTATTACTAATATTACTTAACTATTAGATACTTTACTAATTTCATTCATGAAAACCACTAATGTGTCTCACGGCACTTACAACGTACAATTAAATCCAGTTGGCATCCCTTCAAATCACAACTACGGAAAGCGCCACAGTTCTCAGCAGATGTCAAGTGTGAACGAATTCATTGACTATTTCGTTACAAAAGCTTTACGCCAATTAAAATTGTTGAGTAATTTTTTGTGGCACGTCGCCTGACGGATGCCGAAATCTATTTGGGTCACAACTGAAGATTAATATGATTCAAACGAATAGGCGTCTTGTTAATGTTTGTGTAAATATACATACCAAAAACGTGTTTATTACCATACAACTGTTCTCTATACAATTCTCGAATTATAAACAATGCTTTGTTAATTGACACTGGGTTCTTGTGCAACGCTCTCAAGTACAGCTACTAGCTTTAGATTGTATAGAATCAATAAGCAATCCATTGAAACACGGTGCACAAGTTCTTATATCATAAATTACACGATGCATCTGGTTTATGTGTATAGCGTCAATACAGTCAAGAGCAATGTACGACGCAATCCAGCATGCGACGGTAGAAGCGAACACTGTCGTCGCAAGTTGAAGTGCAAGAACAAGCTAACCATATATCAGTCCGACCAGAAATACATCAGTCAGCGTCTGTACTACGAGAAAACGATCTACGACGATGCTGCTTGCTTCCTACTTGCCTTATAAGCACAGACTGCCATCAGACTAAAGCCGAGCCTTACACAGCGCAATATCTCCACGTGATTTACTATCGAAACAACAATCGCATAACTCTATTACAATAAATTGTTCTTGCTTTCTCTGATCGTCAATAGAATGTCCGTCAATAAAATTACAATATGGTTTAGTGGGCGTTATAGCACCATCCATAGCATTATTACAGAAAATTTAAATGGCTGTTTTCCTATAAGTTGAATTCAGAGCGCACGTTCCTTTCTGCAATGTCCCATTGAAATGCCTTGCTATAAATTGGTCTTTACAATTTTGCATCAGTGCAATAGAAAGACATACTGTTCCATTCAGTTTTATAGAGATTAATGCACGCTGACTTTCGTAGCATGCGACGAGAATCGCCCACTTAGCAATGTTATAATGGTATATGATCCCTCAATTGGTCATTAATGTTACAAGTAAATTATGAGCGTTTAATTTATCTCAAGATCATTGAGTCTTCCTTATCGGATTATGATCGTACTGTAGAATTTTGCATGAAGATCGTAATTAAAAGGCAATATATCATAAAAAGTCATGGTATATTATAATAAGTATAATTGCCTGTGTATTAAAATGAAATACGCATAATTTGTTCCTAAAAAAGTTCTTATAGAGAATTTGGTTGGATCGCGACGAAACTTTCACTTTATGCCTCTCCGCGCTGGCAGACAGCGTTCGAGAGACACAAAACAAAGTTTTGCCACTGGGGCTTTAAATTCCCTAATGTTTGTCAAAACATACTTAAACCTGTCAGGAGGCGCTTAAATCAATTTATTATACAGGTACTCGGAGACACTTCGGCAACGAGCATGTTTACCCACATGTATGTATGTAAATCTCGCGTTCGTTGCTTCTTCAAAAAACCGTATGGAAAACTCTAAGCCTCTTTTATATTCTTATTCCTTATCCTTGTGGGATAATTCAGACCCATAGGACAGGTTTTTACATAATTTTACTGCGGCCCTTTCTATTGGAAGTACGCTTTTGCTGAATCACATTTTTCGTGACAATTTTATCGGTCGCATAGAAGCGAGCAGGGAGGATGGTGCTAAGCTAAATTAGTTAACGTTCAAATAAATCACGACACGTAATGCAATTTTGAGAATCGTAAATAAAATTGAGCAAAGGGTAACGAGTTTTAAAAACAAACATTTTTGAGAGAACAAAAAAGGGTAACGGGTGCGCGGCTGTCGTGTTTGTCGTGAACAATGTACCTAGCGTGTGATGTAGGGTAATTGTTTGACATGCAAAGCACTGAGATCAGCCAGCCGCCGCTCTTGACGCGACTGACGACCGCTCAGGGGTATAGCGTTTGAACTATCACAGTTTTACACACTCACACGCGAACACAACTGTACTAACTATAAACAGATACACACACACTCCAAGTTTAGATTATTTGCATCAAAGGCAAAGTTCTGCGTCTCGTTAGCAACATATTCTGGGTTCTGTTTCTAAAATCTTATTCCAGAGTTACTTTACAAAGCCAGTAAACGCCTGAGCTTTGAAGTTTATTAATCAAGCGCAGATTATTGTATGCGGCTATGTAATGAATGTAAGAGCTCCTTAGAAAATTATTTATTTGTGTACTCTAGGTAAATATATACTGCTTGTAAGTATGGTGTGAACAAAGTGTTATCGCCAGTCGTAATTCAGACTCTGCTTCGGTATGACCCGAACCCTTCATCATTTCCAATAATCGTATAGATTTTCTCCTTTCTTATCTCACCTTCAGTCGTTTGCAGAGTTACATTGGCATTCCCTTTATTTGAGAACTGAAATGGAAGCAAACACACTCGTGTATCAAATAGATTACTAAGTACACTTACTATTACATCAGACATAGTAGCTTGTCCTTTGCGAACTAGTAATTAAATAACGTTAGGTATGTTATACTCGTACGCGGGTTCACCTTTCTGCAGTAACCAAATCTTTTGCAACAATTCTACTATCATTATACTAAATTCTACTAATCAATTCTACTAAACACGTGTTTTTCTTCGTAATACGATTTTTTGCATTCTAAAAATCAACTCTATCTTTACAATCTAACAAATCTCCGATTAGCAAAAAAAATATCAAAAGCATTTAATGCGGCAACTCACAAAGGACCCTCTTCTTCTATAGAAAAACAGCTGTTATTCACACTGCACACTGAATATTCTTCAAAAATACAATGGCAAATTTAACCGCATCACGTCATGTTGAACATGGGAGAGCTTTCGTACGGTTACGTCAGGTCTATTGCACTATGGTCCCTCGTTGTATGGTCCGCATTTTTTGTTGCTCGTCCAATAACTCAGCGAGCTTTCGATAGCACCTCGGGCGCGGACGCAAAAAACGACAAAAGCTCGTGTGAGCTCTAGCAAGGGTCGGTCTCGAAGCGCTTCGTCGCCGGCGGTTAGTTAGGTGCGCGCACGCAACGGGATCGGGTGGCACGATCGAGTACCACGCGACGCTTCTCTAGTCCAACCAACGTACACTCATTCAAAAAAAATAATTATCCTTACAGATTCATATTTTCAATTAAGAAAATAAGTGTTTCAAAATGATAGACAAAAAGAACATTTGAACTTAACCAGTGAATTTCTATTAAACACGATGTCGACGAACGTAAATAAAATAGTGTTAACGATGTAAGTGATAAAGTAGACGTTATTTGTGAGATGTTGGGTGCGAGCAAACTACAGTGAAGTGAACCAAAATCCAGTCGAAATGACGATGAAATCGCTGAAGTATAGCGAGCGGGAGGATATGATGGAGGGCTTCAGCCCGGTGCCACCCCCCCTCCCGCGTCGACAGCCCGTCAGAAATATCTACGCGGAGCCTTTCGTAGACCCGAGGTAAGTGTAACGTCGTCCTTGAGCACCTACAATTAACGTCAAAAGGTAAGTCTTTTACTAACCCTAATAAAATTGCGAATTAATTTAACAAACACATTAATATGGAACTTGGAATGGCTCATAAGCAACAGTATCTTTAATCAAATTTCAAAGAAGCTGAAATAGGTCAAAGTTTCTAAGATATTATAAATTTCCAGACACTACACAGACATCAAAGAACACAAGAAACCATCTCTCCACAAACCGTGTGTATCTCTTCAAAGAGTTTAATACAGAGCTCCTAATATTATCACTTACGTACCTAATAAGAGGGTATGACGAAACACTAATAGATGAATGTTTGGCATGATATCCAATCCTACACGGTTCAGGGGCTAACTTATGTACCGATTGTGTAGTCCAGTTTGATATTCGCAGCTAGTGTCGTTTAAGCGAGCAAACAGGGAACCATCATTAAGGACAATAAAAATAATTGAGTTATTCGTATATATTTTTTACTATTGCTATTTATTTTTTGTATGTATAGCTATAAAGTTTTTTGAACAAAACTCTGTGCATCGTGCGGTGCTCGCTCATTCAAGTGTTACCCGAATTTTTGTGACTCAGGCTGCCGTCTTGAAGGAAGGACGTGTGAGTACTTTATTATCATTTTGGAGAGAGTAACCCAGGCGGAGATCAAATTAGAATAAGCACAAGCCTCAAAATATAATCCACTCATAGCCACATGTCTTGGCTACTTTACGCCACATTATTTCTAATATTTTTATTAAAATTTGACTATAAGACCTCATTAAACATAATCACATCTTGACAATTTACAATGTAGAAGCGCCAATAACAGCATTTTCATAAATATTATATGAAATCATCCAATAGGAAAACATTCATCTGGCGGTAAGATGAAACACACAATCGCTAAGCCGCCATACATAAATAACGAAGCTTTTGATAAAGCCGACTACAAGAAAAGCACGCCGTGGAACAAACGTAAATGACCATTCAGAAAGCATACCAAACACCGCAACAACATTAAAAATTTTATGACAGTGCCAGGGCAGTTCCTGTCACAAGCTATAAACGATTAATGATTATAATAATATTTGATAAACTTTAGATCTATCTTGTGCGCAACTTTTATACTTCTTCTAGTATTTGTATCTGTCATAGAAACAGATTGTAATAAGAAACAAAATAAACACATTACAAATGTCAAGTAGTAACTATTTGCAGACAAACAATACCCAACCGGAACTATAATAAAAAGAATCCGAAAGAAATAAGGAAAATGTTCAATTCAATTGACTAGTTGAATCAGTCGGCGCACTTGTTTACCTTCCCGACCCCAACTTACCCACCCCTTGTATACGCAGCCACTCTACAAAGTAATAATAAAGAGCCTGGAGCTAGAAAACATCTATTTCATTATATATAGTACGACTACATACCGTAGGCATTTCCGCAAACCTCCGAAAACTACCAAACATTATTAAAGTAGGTACGTCACTACACAAAACTAATTCTGCAGCGCTTATTTGGGATCTCCTTTGAGATTACCGTTAAGGGTTCTCACAATGTCAAAATTTTGTCTATTGGAACCGATTCTTCTAGTATGTGGTATATGCAGATGTGTGATAATCGTCACTCGGTAGATCAGGTTGGGCCGGATGCGTAGTCCTATATGCTAGGTCATAAATCACATTTTTATACTTGGCGCACATTCCGAGCGCAGTTACAACCATCTGCGACACCCCAATCGGTGCTCAGCTTAATTTCGACAGATTCGAGGGCGAATCTGAACTATTAATATTGCAGTATAAGTAGAAAATACTTGTGCCAGTATGAAAAAAGGACTTATTTATATCAAGCGTGTGCACTCTTCTATTTATTTATACACATTTGTCTATTTACTCACAAAGTACCCAATCTATTGACACAAATATGAAACGACATCAATTTGACATGCAACAGCGATGATCGATAACGGAAACTCTAGTTGACGAGCAGCTAGCGCTGAGTAAGAATGTAATTTCCTTACAATGTGTTAACAAGGACCGAATGCGTACAATTTTGAGGTCGGGGCCTGTGAACAAGCGGTGAGCATAAACTCATTAAACCAGAGATACTACATGTAGAAAACAGTCGAACATAACACGACTACATGACTATAAGCGATTGAGATGGAACAGTACGTATAATTAGTCACAATAGCTATGATCTTGTGTGAGAAAAATGAGTAAACTGCATAATAAAAAGAGATAAGATACCAGATAATGATTTCGATGATAATAAAGAGTTTACACTTACTGAAGCCTATCTATTTCCCGCTATTGTAAAGGCCACAGTTTGACGGTTAAGTGCACGCAACAACGGCGGGTAGACAATACAGATAGCATCGTGCCCCTTCAAAGCCGCGGAACGCATCGACAAGGAACCGATCATTATAAAGGTAACCCCAAGCAAACTTTCTCTACGCGACGGCGCCTGCGCACTAAACTATTACATTACAGTTAAATTAATTGCAATAAATGTCCATCGTGTTATAGTTTTAATTGAAATACTTTACTTTATTGTACTCTTAAAGAGTGTACAATAAAAGTAGCTTAAGCGTACGTATAAGAAGTACCGGTATTAAAAATAATAAAATACAAAAGTATATGTCATCGGATGCCTTTGTCCATCTTAGAGACTGGAGCCTGTTCCAAACGGCATGACTCATTACATCAAACTGGTATTCGTGTAGATGCGCATAGAGAAGTTTATGCTTTGCTTTTTAATTGAATCTGCAGTAGATTTTGTTTCGCTTATTTCAACTCAAAGAGTCGTTTTCATTAATAAGAAATTCGAATATTCTCGTTGGAAATGAAACTACTCGTATTTTCATTCGTGTATATTTATTTCCACACAATCTACAATTCTTGATTCTCCAAGAAAATATTAATTCCACAAAATAAACTTCATGTGCTCAGTAACTTTCTCATATTTAGTAAATCATTGTTTGTAAGAAGCGATAATTAGCGCCGAAACACAAACAGGAGCAAATGCTGCCAATGTCTGCAAAGACACGATCACTGCGAACACTCCAGGGAACTTCCTAACTGACAGTACATATTTGATCATATGCAGAACCGGGAAGCTCAGTCGAGCAAGAAATGATTTCCATACGGCCCGGACAGCGCAAACACCGCTCACCCATCAAAGTCCAACACAAACGCACAACTGAGTTAATAGCATTTAGACGATGGCTCCCGTCGCAAACCATTTCCTCCGCACGGATTCGCTTTGTTACAAAATCCAATTCAACCCACTCCAACGGCTCTATAACTAAATTGAATAGCCATAATTAATTGTTCATGTCACTCTGTTAATTAGTTTATATATCCCAATCTCAGTCGACGGGATAAAGATAATTCACTAAGTTCAGCGAACTGTGAGTTTCTGTCAATTAAACAGAACCCATTTACGGAAAGATCACACATGGCAGACGATATCGGAGCGTTCAAAGGCAAATTGCACGTGGGATCGTTAACTCCTTAGTGCAAAGTAGCTTAGCTACATGTAGTGGATTGTTTGGCAAGCGCAGGCCCGGTACACACACCCATATTTATTTATTTAGCTGACACAAGCCGGCAATATTTAGTTAGAACGAGTTGAGCACTCCTGGCGCTGGGATATTGGCAGTAGTGCACTCCTATTACTGAGATTGCTCGGGGCGCACCGCCATTTCTCCACCGCCCTGTGATGCGCTACTTTATCGCCACGAGCGGCGATTTTTGTTGCTTCGCTTCATATTTCATGGCGTAATAGGTTTTTAAATGAGCTCCACTCTCTAGCATCCATCATCTAATAGAAGTATGATGTTCTGTAAGGATTTTACATAATTTATAAGTAGGTACCTATCTACTATTAAATGAGTACTTGAATTATAAGTCGTATATATTTAGGAGCACTTAAGTGAGTATTATGGAGTACAGTGATCGATTGTAGTTTAGAAGCGTGTTTTATTAATAGGTCGTGTAATTAGAGGAAACGCCCCATCGAGCTAGCACTATATCCTCTTGTGCGGTCATACAGATAGGGGCTCTAACATCATTGATGTTTCAACTTTAAACCAACAGTTACACGCTGCAGGAAGTTCAATTGTCTGACTTTACCCGTAATATTTAATGTCCACACAATCATTCCATTAAACTGAATCTTAGTGCTTCAATCATCAATAATTGGTCCGATCGATCGAACCAATTACTTTGCGACTTCATGTTATATACAGTTTAATTTGAAATACAACAATAGATAACAGGGTTCAGAATGCAGTGAACCAGAGAAATAAGTTTCTTTTTTAAAAGAAAACACTGGAAATAAAGTAGCGTAGCTACGTAGCTATTCAAGATTCGTGTTGTGGGGTCGTTAGGAACATTTACATTTAAACTGCTGTGAAAACTTGAACTGGATAAATAATTACTTCACGTAATCATGTAACAGTGTATTTAATATACGTACAAATACATCAAGGATCAGAATTTGAATATCTAATTTCTATTTATAGTACCCATCAATCGAGTCACAACAAAGCTTATCAACAATGTATGACGTTGTGTTTGGGACAAAGGATAATCCCGTTCACGATTCCAATGTCACCCAGTCGGACATAAATATTTCACGGCGAGTCCAAATGCCCGATCGACATCCAGTGCGTCCCGGGTTATCGCATTGCACATAATCTCCTGTCGACGAATGTTCCTAGCGCGTTAGATATTTTATAATAATGTTTATGACTTTTCTCTCTCCTGCATTTGTGAGATTGCGTATATGAAACTACTGTAACGTTTGTAAAAATTCATTGACATACCAACTGGCTATTTACACCGTATTGTACAGGATCAATAAATAATAACGCACACACTCAACTTAGCCCCGCGCTAGAGAAACCCTGTATCGCGGGTGCACACATAGACAACCACAAATTACATCCAAACTCACGAGAGAAATAAATGTAGGCCATACAAATATTCCTCCCGCCCCGGGAATCAAACCCGGGGACCTCTGCGTGGCAGTCCGGTATGGTAACCGTTCGGCCACGGAGGCAGTTTATCTGATAATAGTTTAGATGTATCACGAAGAGTGCGATGAAATTGCATTATTTAATTTCGCCTTCCCGTTTCCATCATCGGAGGACTAGACGTAGGCTGTTGTAAGAAGCGTCTCGCTTCCACATTTAAATGGAGCACGGCTAAGAAGTAAAATTCCCTGTCTGCAGACTTATTCCCTGAACGCTGCAAGTTGGGCCTTTTCAAGGCGAGAGTGAATAGCATTATTTAGATATGCATGCTACATCGTCATCATCACTTTCCATCAGATGAGATCCATCTCATCCGAGATTTTTTTTATTAAAAAAAACGTATTACATAATATAATATAGAGTTAGTAATAGGTATAAAAATATAGAGTAGGTATACTGAATCTTATGTAATTTATATTTAAAAGCTGAGCGTGATTGTCGTTCAACGAAAATCCTTAAGAGTGTTCAAAAAATCAGATCACCTTACCTACATCATTGATTTACCTTTTATTTGACTCTGTATCTTATCAAATGCTGCTTTCGGTTCAGTATTAATTAATAATTGAAACTGGGTCAAGGGTAGTAGGCAAACCTTAAATATAAATATATAGAGAAGTGACACGCTGTATCCAAGTTCTATAATCTGTAATGTATGTTTTTCTTGTCTCTCAACGTTTGTAAACAAACCAATTTTCGTTTGAATAATACACTTAGGAGTTGAGACCAGGAATACAATGGCCAGGTTCTAATAGTTTCCGTTTTGAATAAGATATATCTATTGTCTAACTCCGGTATTGATTGGCTTCGTCTCGGGATGTCATTGTTGAAAATTATTTTCCTATGTACCTCTGAAGTTATTTCTAGTATTATAGTTGTCCAGCAATAACCAGAACGTGAAGTGTATATCATTCAGTTCATCTACGAGTAAATTACCTATTGTACATCTTGACACGTAATCTATTTCCTTTCTTCGAAGATGAATAGTTATTATCTCAAAATAGTAAAGTTCATTGAACGTATCCTTGAATAATAATGAAGTTCTAATAATAAGAAATATTATTTCGTCATGTCGGGATCGGAGACAGAGCACATCGCATCGTCGCCGCCCCAGTGACAGCGCCGTATCGGTGGCATCAGCTCGAGTATTTCAGTAGCATTACTGCCAGCTCGCAGGACGCTTATCGGAATAGGGTATTTTAGCCTAACTCGTTTTAAAAATAAATAAACTGGCGTCCCGTCCGAATAAATACAAACCTCGCTTTGACACTGCCTCCTATAAATAACTGTAATGAATAGGCGGCTGGCATTCCCGCAGCAATATGTAATGTCGACGTTTCCTCGCGTGGATTTATTTCTCTCCTTATTTGAATATTTTATAATTCAGAAGGATAAGCAGCCGCGCCCCAACAATTAAAGAAACATTACTAAATGAGCAGCTGGCAGCGCCGTGTAATAAATTCTGATTTCTGATGCTGTTTGAAAATGCAATACTTATTAAATTCAATGTTAAACTGGACATAATGTGCATTATAAACGTCAGTTCATATTGTATGTTTGCATATTCTCGTGGGATGCAGTGCGGCATACGTCATATAAGTTGCAAAGTTAACAACTAACAGAGATACGTTTGTACTTCGCTTTACGAACTTTGCATAATTTTATTAGACTATACTGGGTAATACATTTTATACTTAATAATTGCAATGAGAGTGTGCTTGGTAACGTGGAGTGTACCTATTACACGCAAGTAGCTCAATAACAACTGCATGGTGTGGATTAAGAAGAACAGAGAACAAGTTTCAGCTCGGTGTTGTCATATTGGGTGAGAGCTGGTCAAACAGCGGACCACACAGGGTGGCATCATTTGCCTTCTCTAGCCCCTCATGAGATACCAAATGCACAGTGCTCTCCGCTGCACTTATCTAAACACTTGGCCCGCACTATACACAAACAGACCTGTCCCTACTCACTTTTTACCATAAAACACCTTTCTTTTTACCCTTTAGGGCTTCTCAGTACTGCATGCTTTGCGTGCCCGCGTCGAGTGCCTTTGTTTGTGCCCGGAAGTTCATACATTTTGCCGCAATGTGCAGTTAACTGAAGATATGTACAGGAATGTCTTTTTCGCTTTATTTAGGGCACATAAATAGCTTACACTAAAGAATTACTGCTTTGAAAACGACACCATTAGCTTCCATTAAACATATTTTAAAAATTATCTACGCGAGCAGATATTAACCATGTTATTACTGACTTCAACGAAATTCCAACGTAAAACCTTTTAAGACAAGCACCTATTTTACCGAAAAACGTCACAACGAAATCTTTCTAATAATAGTTTTGGTCTTGTCCAAGGTACACGTCATCGGGCGTGACTAACGAATGGCTCGCCCTACAGACCCTAAATTCAGAGTCGTAAGTATCAGTGACACGATGCCCGCAGTATCTACGAAGGCTGCCGAACATTACCATAACTTCAACCCGTAATTAGAGACACCAATAACACACCGAACACTCGAAACACATTAATCTGTTTTGATTCGAAGGGTTAACGCCCTTGAGGTGTATATCAAACATTACGACTCACTCGGATCCTGGTACAAGTACACGAGTTATAAAATAATCGTAACTTTCCAGATTGATTGTGACATGCCTAGGTAATATACGACTCAACAACTCTGCGTGGGCGATTCGGAACCGAATGAAGATCACGGCGAGCACAAATTTATGTAAATTTACTGGCTTCCAAAGTAAGAAAATTACATGAAAGTGCCTACTTACTCTTAGTAGTTCATAATTACTGCTATAATAACCGAATAGCGTTTCAAGTCGTCGTCGTCGGTCCCAGCCTCTCTTGACATCTTTAACATTGTAATTATAGAGAAATGGTAAATACTTACTTTCAAATAGGTAGTCATTAATATATCCTCGATGAGTCGCTTAGAATGAGACACGGAATATAAACGTCTAAAAAGCCAATCACTAATGATATCTCTTTTAATAAATACGTTTTGTATATATGTAGACGTTTATAATGATAATTTTTTTCTATATCGCGAGAACAACATTGGCGATTTTTAATAAATTGCCCATTACACGAATTAATACTAAATTAATGAAAAGAGTGGGATGTAACGATACCTCATAAACGAAAACTCATTATGTTATACGGAAACATTAATAGCTTTAGCCAATTATCGATGTTATTTCTTGTTATTTATAGATCTATTTTCGATTTTTGATGAAAATATTGACTATAATCATCTAATTCTACATTATCAATAATTATAGCGACGTATTTTCGAAACGAATGGTGTAATCTCTTTTATACTCGCGTATTACTATTATTTATAATCCCACGCACCACAATAACGCACCTGATTTCCATAACACGCTACTCTAAACACCCATTGGTGGATTATCGTTATTAGCAACTTCAACGGCCTAATTTCTTTACAAAGAAAAAACTATCAGTAACCAGTTTTCCTTCTCACAGTGGCTAAATGCCAATGGGATACGTTGATCAATGAACGTTACGTCCATTAGACGTGTAAATATTCAATGTGCAGTGTAACACTGCTTTGCAATTCAATCGGACTGTATACGAGGGAAGGAATGATCCATTCCCTTATCATTTAGAAGAGACCGGTCAACCGTACAAAGGATTAAAGGACAGCTCTCCATCGTAACTTTAAACAAGCGACAAACCCATATTTCCTTTCCACTACGTTCCGCTTCGACTTGCACCTAAATCACCTGACTTTTGGACTCACGTAAGCATGTGCCTTGCTTACTCCAAATAATGACTGTTCCTTTTGTCTTTGTTATGCTTAACTCTTTGCTTCCGGCAATTAAACGCCGAGGTATAGAGCTTCGAATAATCTTTTACAATGACTCCGAAGCTGGCACACTGCCTAACCACAGCAAATCGTAAAATCCATTAAATACCCAACTGACACTTTGATTTACAAAAACAGTTTTAAAATAATATATCGCCGGTTGTTCTAACGGCTCGACGTAATTTCAAAATCGAAACCAACCGTAGTTAATTGATAAAATATTACTAGTGGTATTGTCCTTTTAATAAATTTCACGGCACATGAACTTGAATATGGGCAAAAAATGCAGATGAGTAAAAATGTCAATCGGGTTGGATTTAAAAGGGGGTTGATTCGGTAGAGTTGGGTAATGTAGTACAACGAGTGACTCGCGCCCCACATCACACTGGTTTTCTGGGCTAATGTGAAAATCTTACTGCCGACAATAACAAGCTCCATCTAATTTTGGCTCTTAATACGACAACACTGGGTCGAGTATAAAAACAAAATCTTGTACCTAAACTTGAGCTTCAATCAGTCTCTCCCTCGTTCTGAATACGTCGGCGTTGCACGCCATTTTGTCAACCGCTTAATATTTATAGCTTTGTACTTAACTACTCGTGTTGTTCTTACTTTTATTGTGTTTTTATTATAATGCCGGATTCATTTTGAATATCTAAGTAATTTAATATGGACTTTAAAATTTTATTACCTCCCATCCTATTATGTGTTTCTTTATTGGCTCGCTCACTGTAAGCTCTTTTATCACCTCTGAGACTAGTCAATCGGTAGAGTTAAGCGGGAACATTGATTAATCTAACGCGAATTCCCTTATCGATCGGTTTGAACTCGCAAGCTATTTGTCTTTCATTAGGCCCAGATCGAGGAAATCCAGTAATGGATCCTCATTTGTATCTTCGACTGTATAAATAATGGCATCGAGTGATCCCCACGATTCACAGCCGCCCAAAACAAACATAATTAGCGGAATATTGTCAATCTATACTGAATCAGATACAGTCGTAATTATGTATATTTTTATCTCCTTCTGAAACTGGGAGTCATGCCCACGATAGAGTGGGTTTACCTTCTTTGCCGTGTTTAGAAAACTTTATTTCATATTCATGATGAACCACAGTATATTCCAGTATTCATACGTGCCGTCCGACTTTAAAGTAATACCATAATACATCAAAAGTTTCACAGTGCGGGTCGGGCGGAGCCGGTCCAGCGAGTGAGCGTCCGTATTTTGAAAGTTGCTTATGAAAAGGTACGAGTTGGAGTGTTCCCGGTGCCATTTCATGCCGCACTTGCTATTCAAAGACGTGCACGGATGGAACAAAGTTAAAATTATCAAATTCGTAATACAACCACAAACATAAATTCGTAGACTTGACTCCTTTAACGTACGTTGAATGCAAGGAATGTCTCTTACAGATCTTAAAAACTCACGCCATATTGTTTACCGAAAAACGAACGAAATCAAAAAATTAAAAAATGAATTCCTAGTGTAAAGTGTAAAATAACAAAAGTTGTGAAATGTGCTATAGTACATTTCACATTTTATTTATTAGACTACCATAATATGTTTCGATAGTGGTGAGTTTGTGTACAAAGGAAAGGCAGTGCAGGAACGCTGGAGACTGTACCCATATCAAATTTGAACGTATCAGCTCGATCCATTATCGGAGGAGGGGGGTGGAATGTGATAAAATTTTTCAATCAGGCAACCGCCGAAAAATATTTACAGTGTAACCCGAGGCAGCAGGGAGGACAATATTGTGGAACGATACGCGAGAGGCGCCCGCGGCAGCGGCGTGGGCCTTCCGCCTCTTTGTGCGCCACTGTCGAAATAATATTGAACTCCGGGTGAAATACGAGCGGCCGCGAGGGGCGACGCCTGCGAAACCGTTTTTCCGTTCCGCTGCACAATACTAAGCGTTTAGTTTAGGACTTGCGTCTCCCACTGAAACGGGTCACATTGATAGTTATCATTCTCGTAACCAAGCTAAGTATAACTACATACTAAAATCAAAATAAAATTTTGTATCCCTTACGAACACTTTCGCGTGCATAAGCACCTCGTTAGCATCTTAAGTACTGTTTAAACCCTTTCAAAACAGGTTGGACCATGTTAGTTAAATTGTAATGTTCAATTTTATTGTAACAAGTCCTATCGCTGAAATCCGAACCAATCTACCTCATGCTGCGTAGCCGCTTTGGAAAACCTGGTCTATTCTTTACTTATTCATTGCCTTGTTTCATTAGCATTCGTTTTATATTATAATATCTTGGAACGACAGGTACGGAGCAGACACGTAATAAAAGGCTATTGGTATCCCATACGGGTTTTCCGTTAGGTATGGAAATTGGAAACTTGCGCTCACGGTTGCAACTAATGGAAAATTGATTATCTATCAAAGTAGTGCGCGTGTGCAGGATTATTTACGTGCGGTTCCTCGCAGTCTACGGCGGTCACTAATTGGCGGCTTATTCGCTATCGCTTCTATTCATTTCTCGCGATAAAACTGCCCCAGACGCGTTTACAAATGCAGTAAGCTCATTTGATACAACTTCGCCATATTATAAAAGTTATTGTAAGTGCTTCTACCTCGCATTCCAAATTCTTTGATAATCTTACAGATACCTCGTTGTATACTACTTTATTTACAGAGCTGTTTTGAAAGAAATAAATTTTCTTAGACAGCTTGTTTAACACTAGCTCAAAATCAAGGAATGATAGAATAAGCTTAAACAAATAAGCCCGCCTCGTCATTTTTTTCTAGGATATCATAAAAGATATAATTTGCATGTTACCAACTAAAAAATCGCAGTAAAGTAAAATTCAGACATTTACCAAGAGCTTCCGTCGTGAAATATGTTTCTTGGGAAATTGGTGCTAAATATAGCTCGGCAAGCACTTGCATGCAGTCTGGCACTAGCAGGCCACTCTCCCATTCATGAATCAACTTCTGCATTACCTAACCGGAGCCAGCGACTAAAACAAACATCGCGTCAGGGTTATTAATACGAGATCCGAGTTCAACGATTCCAACAGCTAGATTTAAAACGCTGTATCACGCGTCGCATTCGTATTGCACGCACTAAATATGAATTCACAGAAACGCACCCGCATTTATCTCCCTTTTGCACGATTTACACGAATAGCTATCTATTACTAACTATTCATATTCATGAACCCATCCACAGATAACGTTATAAGCTTAATCGACTGTCATAGATTACCTTGTTTATCACCAGCAACACATAATTAATAACGCAATATAAACGTCTCTTCGACTTCTAGGAATAACATGGCTGTTTAAAAACTCATTTTGACGAATGTTTTTTAATTAATTCACTGGGTGTGTTCAGCGTCGAACGAAGCAGCTATTTAAGAGGACAGATTCCGGGCGTGGCTCAGTATTCCAGCCAGACGAATGAGCGCTACTTGTTTAATGCTTTCATTCTACATATTTAGGTAACTGAACCCCCTCTTCCTCTTATTCATTGTGGATTAACTTAGATGCCCGTAGATCCTCACCCGTCCTTTAGTAAATACATTTTAACTTGCAGTCTTAATAATAGAAAAGGTGGTAATTTTATTCCGCTTCTTTATGCGGAATCCGGTAGTCGAGGGAGGAAATTGGCATAGCGGGGCGACGGCATTGTTACACATTTCGTTTTAAATTGGGGGCTTTCTTGAATTTACACCCATGACTTGCAGCACGAGGGCGACCGACGCGACGCGAGGGCCCTCGCGTCTTCACAGCCGCCTACAAGCTCATATCGATTGGTCCGACAAAACTGTTTGTAAGCAGCTCCTTTCATTATTTACTGAAAATTGATGCACCTCGCCCTTCACGTTCTTTTATTTTCTCACTTGACATTTGAATGTGAAATGCAACGCACGGACAATGTTAAACGAAGTAATACCGCCATTGTGTATTCAACAATACCTTATTCGTTCTTAATTTGTGTTCAATATATTATGATTCATGCGAAACAATCATCATTGAAAGGCTCGCCCCTTGTTCCTGGCGATAGAGGCGGTTGTTTCATTTATCTCTTTGTTCCATTCAACCCACAGGGCAATTAGTTTCAAGGTTTCTGAAAATAAACTTGCGCGATTACGTTATTAGAAAATATTATTAATATTAAGTTCGATAACATCTCGGGATCGTTTTACGACCCTCACAATGAATGTAAGGGGCGTTTTAAGATTGTCCACAAAAAGAAAATCAAATGAGTTGAGGCGGCACCGAATATCTATAGAGCTGGATAAGGCTTCGCTCGTATTTCTTCGAAGACGCTTAAATTTGACCGATGCAATGAGCACAGATTGAAAAAAGTAAAATATCGCTGTTGCACGTAGTAGCACCGACATTAAAGCGTACTTTACCCTTTTGTGAATTCCTACGTTTATTGCAAGACCATAATATCGACATCAGTTGAAAAATACACTATTAAGATCATATTTTTCAATTTTTAAGATCAAACTGACGCACCAGACCGCTCTAAAAGAGGATGTTACTAAAAATGTCAACGTTATTTTTTATCACTACTGCATATACATACCACATATTTTAATGTATTTAATTAAAAGGTGTGCAATTTTTCGTGCACCTTTCATACGATGTATCTACGTAAATACATCGGCCTAATGAGTTGAAAAGTCAAGGAGACAATAACTACGCAACGAATTATTTCGTTTGCTCATCTGCTATGCATTCGCGATAATAGCAAGCTGTCGTCGGTAACCGGTCACATTCCACCTGTTACCGTGTGCATATTAACCACTGTTAAATGTGCATAACTGTTAATATCCACTCGGTACGAAGGCAATATCCGCTCATCTACGCACACAAAGAACTTGATTTGTATGTATCTCTAGATCAGACAGCACTGAAAGTAACTACGACGATTTGATCGATTTGAAATTTTTATCATATCTTTATTGATACCGTTACGTACAATGGACATGTCTATTGTTGGTAGGTGAATCTAAGTAATCATGTATGTGTAATACCGCAAAAGCGATCAGATGTTTTATGTGATCTGTATTAACTTTCTAGAGGTAATAGCTACATCAGCAACAACATTTACAACAAAAAACCTCCAGAAACCATTTTGTAATATATAAAACTGACGAGGGCATTAATGCACTCGACTGGCACACCTTCCATCCCATTGAATCAGTCCATGTGGCCAATCATTTTAGGGCTAAAAGCATTGTGGCTTACCTTCGCAGGTCTATATTTAAGGGCGCTGCAATAAAAGCACATCGCTGTCCGGTTCATTCCCGCACGACTGTGCAAGATAAATGGACGGCACGGAGCAGGCGCGCCGAAGGAGACGCGTTCTCACGGCCCGTGCCTGTATTTCTTTTTTTTTATTTCATCTGGTTTCCGAGTTAGAGGTCGGCGCAGTCCGATTCGAGACTAGAAGTGACCGCTGCACGAGCGATTATAGTGATAAAAACTGTGCGACAGCGGTGAGGCACGAACGACTAACGAGTCTGCAACTACCTGCTGCAAACATGCCACTCCGACAATTTTTTATATCGTGGCTAGAGATGCCATTACCGTTGTCTCTTCGAAGATTCTTAAACACTTTGAATAATAGCTTGAGAAGATGGTGTCATTTATGTGTAATGCAGCGGTTCGTGTGTAAACGGGTTATGGGTTCTCTCGCGTTAATTAGACACGGCTCTAGCGCAGCGCAACACCTCTGCTCATTATTTACCGCTTCATTAAGAGCTCACTCACGACGCGGCTGTCAAAATCTCGCCGAACACCCGTCTGTCGGTGGGGCCGCTTGAAATATCGCAGCATTGTCCTACAATAACACTGTCGTCGACCTCGTTAATTGTCTTAGTCGCCTCTCCTTCTCGGGATCTGCTGTATACGAAAACTCGACTTTTGTGCTCGTAAAACAGACATCTCGTTTCCGTTCCAAAACCAAAACAAACGCTCGGTATTATTGTGTAATATTTCATTTCTCAATGTTTCTCGACCACAAATTTCCACTAAACAAAAACGAAATGAACATCTCATTTCGGTAACGCGCGGAAATGATGCACCTTCGAACTATAATTGCACCTACACGAAATAACAAAAACAATAAAATCGTAATGATGATGGATTGAAAAAATCAATTTCATGTACTGTTACACAATGATCGATATAATAATCGACAATCACCTAAGTTCCCAATAACAATAGTCAGAAACCGGTTCTGACTTTACGAAACTCGCAAACGACATATGGATAGATAGGCAGTCAGAACTGTTTGATGGAAATGAATATTGTGAATTATTAAACACATGAAAGAAAAACAAACAACAACAAAACAAACATGATATGAAGAAGCATTTTCTGTTCTAATGATATATATATAAAACTGAACATTTTAAAAGCCATTTAAGGGCAAACCTGCATACCGTCGACATTGTGATTTCTGTACACGTTTTAATGAATTCGTCCTTCCTTGGAACGCTCTGGGCCGCTATTCAAAAGAAAATTACACTTGAAAGGCTCCTCGAAACAAATCCTTTAGGATTCACGCTCCGTTCTCGCTAAACTTGGACCAATTATTTCTTCTCTCTTTTTTGCTTATTCCTTTATGCTAGAGGTCATTATGGTGGCGTCAGTTGGTAAGCGCTTGTTCGGCCACTGCACCATATGTTCTCAGCTAAGGCCTTTAAATTTAGTCGTGACGAAGAAGTTCGGATAATTGATTAATGGCTGTCCGGGGCGGACGTGTTTAAACGCCTCGATCATCGTTTTTTGTCGAAATCCCTGGTTTAATAATACGTTTTGATTGTCTATATGGGACCGCATTAAAAAATACTACCATATGTCGAAGCACAGATTCGCTTCGCCAACAGCTGTTTGAGACGTTACAAAACGACAGATTTTACAAAGCATTAAATCACACGTTCCTTTCTTTCTAGAAACATAAATCTTATTGTTTAAACCAGTTTTTCAAAACTTTTATCTTATATCATCATCATCGTGGGGCTGTGGATGATATTCACATTTAATATCATACATTAATTTATCTCTTTTGTCCACAGGTTGGGTAATACAGGCATGTCGAGCGGCATGGGCGGTGGTACGCTGGGCAGCGCACATTGCCAACTAGCGAACCAGCCTTTGGTGATGCCAGTGTTCCCACTACGAGCCAGCCAGCCCAGTCCCGTGCCGGTGTATTCCCCCTCACGCTTCCACATAGACAAGCGATGTCAACATCGGTGCACGTGGAAATGCCTCGCGATAGCCATGATATGCCTCTGTGTCATCTTAGCAGCTATGCTCGCGTACTTTATAGGTAAGTGTTTTAGTTATAAGAATACTTAAGGGGTTTGGGTTCCGTAAAAAATAGCTGTATAAACAGGATTTGTAAAATACTAACAACCTTGCAGGACTATATGACTAACATCATAAACAACAACTTTTGTTCCATGACTTTCAAGAATACATTAGAAATTAGCCAAAAATATTTTTTCAAGTTTTTGTTGCACTATCTGACTTTTTAGATGTATTTGGTTGGTTGTGGCTGTATTTGGTAATAAAGTAGCAAGTGCAAACGTGTAAACTTCCTATCGACGACTCGCACCCCCACTCCTGTGTTGTGCATTGGACGGGTATTTACGACAGCGCTTTCTTTTGTTACCGCACAGTTTAAATATTTTTATTTTTGTATGAAAATAAAATCTGATCAATTATTAAAAGTCATAGAAAGTTGTTGTTTAAGATGTTAATAGGTAATATAGTCCTGCGAAATTGTTTATATATGTATTACAAATACACACATCAAAAGTGTCTAGGGATCAAGTACGTTTAAGAGTATTGCTGCAATTAGGGTTAATTATATTAACTTTTTTGTATCGCTATTGATACTTTTTAGTGAGTTTTAACATTTAAATAAGGAATATTGTTTAAAATTCGATAATAAGAATAAAATCGATTGTCAATGTGGTTTTGTATAAAAATGAGTTATAGCGTTTTGACAAAATCATTACAATATCTGCATCGGAACCGAAACAATTTACATTATTATGGAGAGACGACATCATTTAACCCGAGAAGTGATGATGCGAGCCGTCCGAATGTTGGAAGCTGGTTCCAGGCAACGTGCTGTGGCTTTCACTCTTAACACTACACAGAGCGTCATAAGTCGCCTCTGGACGCGCTATCGCATGACGGGCAGCGTGGCCGAGCGACATGGAGGACGATCTCGCATCACGACTCGCAGACAGGACCGGTATATCCAAAATACTGCTCGACGGAATCGTACCATGACCGCCATGATGTTGGTTACGAGGCTCGACAGCTCCTCAGGCTTGCTAATAAGCGATCAAACAATCCGAAATCGTTTACGTGAAGTGGGTCTGCGATCCCGAAGGCCGCTCAGAGTTCCACCTATTGCACCCTGCAATCGCAGGACCCGTTTACGATGGGCTCGCGAACACAGAAACTGGGAGGAAGAAGGCTGGCGCTATGTGTGCTTTTCGGATGAATCCCGCTTCGGTATGAGACCGGGTACAAGACGTACTCGAGTTTGGAGAACATCTGGACGTCATGAACGTTTGCGATATTGTCAGGAAGTTCATCCATATGGTGGGGGAACAATAATGATATGGGCCGGTATTTGGATCGGCGGAAGAACCGATCTCATTTGGATCAGGGGTAACCTCAATGCTCAAGTTTACGCAGAGAGGATTGTTTCAGATGTTATCATCCCTTTGCGAGGCCAGTTGGGTGATTCATTTCAACTAATGCATGACAACGCACGTCCACACACGGCTAGAGTCGTAACACGCATTCTTGCCGAAGCTCGTATCAACGTTCTGTCGTGGCCTGCTCAATCGCCAGACCTCAATCCAATTGAGCACGCATGGGATATGCTTCAAAGAAGAGCTGTGCCGAGTATGCATACCGTACATACTCTACAACAATATTTTGACTTGTTACAAAACACATGGGCGGCCATTCCTCAAAGTGATTTTGATGAACTCATCTTAAGCATGCCAAATCGCTGTAATTGTGTGATTCGTGTTAATGGTGGAAATACAGATTATTAATTTTCTTATCTTTACAATAAAAATGAGCAAAATCATCATTTTCGCCATTTTTTTGTCATTTAATTGACGCCGTTAATTTGAGTTTTTTCCCACAATTTGCAAAAACATTAATTTTAGTTTATTTTTATTAAATATAGGGGTAAGCTGTTAAATAAAACATAAGCATTAAAGTAAGAAGTCGTCCTGGAAGACTGGATTTGGTAAATATTGCTTAAATAATTTTTATTTCAAAAATATTCACTTGATCCCTAGACACTTTTGATGTGTGTAGATAACCCAGGAACATGTATGCATACATGTGTGTTAAAATCTTAACAACTGTCCAGGATGAATCTCTGTACAAACACCGTTCACCTGAAAGAAAAGGTACTTCTACCTACTGTTCAATATGTTAAGCGGAAAAAACCTTCTACTTGCGTTTAATATAATTTCAGAAGCAAATCTTACATAAAAACAGTAGAATATCTTCGTGACACCGATAATAATGTACAACGTACGTTACGAGTATGTACGAATGTATATTTAATACCCGTGATATATAAAACAAAAGCTTCGTGCACGGGGAGCTATAAATATTTAAGTTGTGTGGACCCTGGATTAGGAAACTTATTACGCGCCATAAGTTTACTACAAATAAACATTACTAATCGCCCGTATTATACTGCTACCATTTCAGAGCAAGTCAGGTCTTAATATAGACGTGCCACAAAACGAAATAATTATGCAATTTCTGCACTGCATCTATTTTAAATTTTAAGCAAGAAGCTTGTTGCAATTCGCAAGAACACGAATTTATTAATTTATTTATTTGTTCTTTAATATTTATCACCTTTCTTCATGGCGTACAAATGCGAGTTTTCTATAAAACACGCATATGACGAAGATAATAATAATAAAGACAAAGAACTATACGAACAATCGGTTCAATATCGAAAGTTTTAACTACAAGTAATATTATCGATATATCTTTGTTCGTAGAGGCACAGCGGGGCGTACGAACCTCTCGTTAAGGCAGTATTTTTATTAACTCGCTCGGAATGCTGATTAAATATTCATAACATTATTCTTTCTCAATCCATTAGCTTTTCTATGCGGTCGCCGTTGCGACTGTCGTCAGTTTATGGTTGCACAGAACACCAAATCCAAACGTGTCGTCTACTTTTTTCATTTTTACGGATTGTTTCATGTCCTATTCGATTAATAAAGCAATTAAGCTAGTTGTAAACACATTGTCAGACTGATTCGGATAACGAAAGAAAGAAAAATACATTTTCACAAACATATGTAGAGTATAAAATACTAAAATAACTTTCAATATCAATACATTCTCTCTCACTGTGAAATTAGTTATTGGAAAAATACCTCTATTGTGCCTGATTATCTACATGTTATATTCCCTAAGAAAAATCGTATAATTATGTTTTGCACCACGTAGTTAATCATGGCGCGCGCGATGCCTCGAGCTAAGGCCTCCCTCCAATCAAGGGGCAGTTTTATCTTGTGTGTGATTTGAAACAATAAAAAAAGCTATAGGATTATGGCCCGCGGCCGCAATTTGGTATGGAACGGTAGCAACCGACGGCAAATTCCAATAATCCCCGCCAGATTGCAGCTTTAAATCAAACTTGTTTCGACAGACGTAGGTGTGATTTTAACCTCAAGGCAGTTATTTTAAAGGAGCTGACAGTAAAATTTCAAAACACAATCCTTATCATATCAATAATCTATAAAATCAGTAAATTTATTATACGTACCCGATTTGTAGATGTCTACAGGCGCCTCAAAACGGGTCGATGTTTCTCAGACAGCAGCCACAAAAAATTTTATTAATTTATCGCCTTAAATACACCCAAATCATAATAGAAAGAATATTCTATCAGCACATCCCAATTCAATTACTGAAGGTGATAAGTTTGAATATCAACTTCGTGCATGCAAATGAGTATATTAAACATTGATGTTGCAACCAAAACAGACATCGACCATTACTCTTTCATCATTCTTTGTTTAGCGCTCGCAACCGGCATCCACAGAGGGCCTCATAAAAAACTAAACAAACATTTGAAAAATATAAATGATGCACCTAACCTAAGGCAACACGCGCTGCGTGCTCGACCCGTGCGCCGCCGCGCCGCCGCTCCTGTGTTAGCATGGTTATAAATTATCTCACATTTCTACGTCCCATATTATTTTACTACGAATATATCAGCCACTCGCAATCCCGGCCTACCCGCCAAACGACCAATCATAATTTATATCCCCATATACGCAACGATGCATAAATCGCGAAAGTAATCCGTCCTTGATTTACTGCTAAGCAACGATCTAATCTTTTATACAAAACTAATAATAAACATACCTCGGCGAAAAGAGTGCATCTTAACTGCACTTGTAGATAAATACTAAGCCTCGTTCCTACGGCAAATAAGTACGAAAGCAGATATGTTGTACCGAAAGCATTTTCCGCTAACGGCGGAAAGACACGGAACAACATAAACAAAGTGCTAGATAGTCACGAGTTCACTCCTAACAGCTGTTGTTGCAAGGTACAGTTACCTCCTAATGGAACTGGCGTATAACATGGCAACTACATTATCTAGCGATAAACAAAAAACAGAGACTACAGTCGGAGAGGTTTAGAGGCGGACAGTAAATTTTATTTCTGAGTGCAATATAATCAACCGTAACAAAGATTCGGGAGATAAAACTCTGACCGCAGGCACATGTAGAGAGTTCACAAAAATAGCATCAAAGTCAAAGTATGCTGAAGTGATATGTCTGACCTACATTTTACTCGACCCGTGCGTTTACCCCGGTGAGCCCTAGTCACAACTATTAAAATTCGACACGAATCGCACTAAGTCGTCGACCGAAATAAATACTAATTACGTTGATACATCGTAGGTTCAAATATACAGTAAAATTTTTAACTAACTATCACGATTAATGATGCATAATCGTATCTATTTACATACTCGTAAACAAGTTTTGAATTAAGTGGGTAATTTTCTGTGGATGGTGATTAGCAGCTATGCTTAAACATTGTAATTGAGCAATTGTCAACTTTTATATCTTGCAATTGAATTTTGTGAACTTTCGACTGTTCCTAGTATGGAGCTTGTCAGGCTATTAGCACTGTATATCACGCGAATTCGCCATAGCACATTCCTAGAAACAATGGGTTAGCTGCAGCACGCGCCATTCCGTTGAAAACGGTCACAAACATACGAATGTATAATAATAA